TGACCCAGAGGGCACTACTGTAAACGTGAAGGTCATTGAATCTCATGACCTTTCAATGCGAGGCTTTTGTCTCTAATTCACTAATCAAAAGTTACAAATATAGCTTCTGATACCTCCTCTCTCCTCTTCTTTTTTATTGGCTGTCAAGACAAGGCAGGGCAGCAGCCAATCAGCTCTTTATATTAAACAGTGAATTTTGCTGAGCTGGACTTGACTACTGGTTGCTACAAAACAAATCTAAGTTTATATCAGAGGTGACAAACTCCATGCCCTGTCATTTATCCTTTTTATAGCATGGGTGACACCAATAGTCAGCAAGTCTTGTTGATGATTATGTGAGTCAACTAAAGCAGAAAACATCTGAGTCTATAGATTTCCTTTGTTAATTGTCAGAAATTGTTTTCTTTTTAATAAAAGAAAAACTAAATTAAAAACAAATTCCACTGCTTTTGATTACTAGACAAATTTTTAAAAAGAAACCCATAATCTTAGTATTAATAGCCATAAACACTATTAACTCGGGTGTATTTTAGTCTAGACATGAGCTAACTACATACATATGTAACCAAAAATGCACTATACTGTGAACCCACCTTTATACATTTAATGATTTCCAAAAACCCCCAAAATATGTTGAGATTTTATTATGTAGTAATAAGCACTGTACTAAATGCTTCACAAATACTATTTTATTTAAAGCAAAACAGCAATCTGAGATAAATATCATCAATCCAATTATATAGCTGAGGTCTTAAAGGTCAAGATCACAGCTAGCAAGTAGAAATGTCCAGCTCCAAACCTAAATTTGTCCAGATTTGAATTTTTGCTGTTCTGTCTCTCATCTTGTGCACCTGAATTTTTAAACTAAAATTATATTATAATTATCCTTTATGACAATATTCGCCTATTCACTTGTAACAGTTTGATGTCCAACTAGTATTCCATTTACAGTGTTTCAATATATTGTACCATTCCTTTCTTGCTCGACATTTGAGTTTGGTTTTGTTTGTTCTCAATTTCCTCCCAGTATAAACAACACTGCAGTGAATATTCTTGTAGATAAGTCTTACACATCATCAATTATTTCCTGAGGAATTTCTAGAAGTCAAGTCATTGGGATAATGGCCTGAAAAAATTTTATGTTTTCAATAATGATGCCAAGTTTCCCTACAGGGAAATTATACCAAATTGCATACTTGCCATCCATATGTACCTATATCTCGGTCCTAAAACCCATTTTCAAAAGCAAAACAAAACAAATAAAACTTCAAGCCACAACCCTCCTACTCACAGTATTATCTTAGGAGTAATTTTTCCAATATCCTACCCATTATCGACCTGTCATAGAGCATCCCGATCTAGGCTATCTTCTATCCTATATAATATATGGGAAGTTCTGGGGACCGAAAATTTAAAAAATGATTGTAAATAGCCCTAAACTACAAAGCACATTTTTAAGCCTCTAAGCAATGAAATAATTGCCCAAACTGTCATAAAATTTATCCAGAATAAGAAAGTGTCACTGGAAATCAGGAGACCTAACCAGCTTTTAACATACTTGACACAGGTCACCAAATGATAAAGATTTTTTGGTCATTCTTCACCTGGAATGGGTTTGCTCTAGGTTGGCAGCTGAGTACACATCTCTTGCTTTATGCTGTTTCCCTTTGCCTTTGGGAGTTCAACAAACAAAGGTAGGGTGGTCAGTGGGAGAAAAAGATTGCCTAGAAACAAAAATAAATTAGATAGTTTCACATTTCTAGGCCAAAGGGGCTGTGAGCATAACTATAAATGTCCTCTCCTCCCCCCAAATCTCTTAAAAATTTCATCACTGAGTCCCATTCTAGAGACACTGGGATTTAACTATGTTTAAAGGAGAAAATGACCTTCAGCTGGTTAAGCTTCTCTTGAATACCCATTGGATACAAAAGAATGCTGGATGTTGCAGCGGGAAAGAAGAAAGGAAGGAAGGAAGAAAGAAAGAAAGAAAGAAGAAGAGGGAGGAAGGAAGGAAGGAAGGAAGGAAGGAAGGAAGGAAGGAAGGAAGGAAGGAAGGAAGGAAGGAAGGAAGGAAGGGGAAAGGAAAGGAAAGCAGGAAGAAGGAACAAAGAAGAGAGAGAGAGAGAGAGAGAGAGAGAGAGAGAGAGAGAGAGAGAGAGAGAGAGAGAGAGAAAGAGAGAGAGAGAGAGAAAGAAAGAAAGAAAGAAGAAAGAAGAAAGAAAGAAAGAGGAAGAAAGAAAGAGAAAGAAAGAAGAAAGAAATGGTGATACGGGAGAATGAAGCAATATAAATCGATTTTTTAAAATCTAGAAATATGTAAGTTCTGCAACTGATTGGCAAACACAACTATGACAGCAAAGACAGGGAAAGATTAATTCTGCCTGGGGTGAAGGGTGAGGTATGGGGACTATGAAAAATGAGGTATTTGTAATGGCTGGTCAGGACAGTTCCTTTGGCCCAAATTGGTTTTGTTTTTGGTGCAAATCTGATAAATAATTTAAATTACGAAAGAAGAACATTACTAAAACTAATAATTTGCTTTAATCTGAAAACACACACTTTAAGGGCCATATAGATTCCATTTCAGCTGCACATTTACCGTTATTCCTGGAAGGCCAGGGGAAGATGAATTCTCCTAACACCTTCTGCTTTGGGAAACTGAACTGGTTGGGGTTAGAGATCAGGGAATAGGACTCAACCCCAAACCTTTGGCTGCAGGAACTGCAGGGGATCCTTTTGAGATATGCCCATGGAGCCTTCAGGGGGATATCTCACCTTACACATCTTCCCTCCACCCCCACACGACCTAGTGTAGTACTTGGCACCCAGTAGGTGATCATTTGTCAAATGGATTTTTAAGCATTCTCCTTTTTCTCCAATAGAGGACAACCAGCCCATCACCACGTTCTGTTTCCCTGCCAGCTGCATTTAGCTCTGGTCTCAGTAGTTAGGCAAACAGGAGAAGGAATGGGGCCATAGCATCCTGAGAGTGAAGCTATGCAAGGGGGTGTTAGAAAGAAAGGCGAGGGCGGCAGAGGGTGCTAATACTCCCACCCCCGCTCCTCGCCTCCCACTGCAAACGCTCAGCCCCCGCCCTCTATCTCCATCCCAGACCCCCACCTGGGAGATGAGAAGGCAGCAAGGGCGAGGCAGCGGCAGGGCTCTGCCACATTCATTTCCTGCTTTGCCAGTCCCTCGCCTCTCCTCCCTCCTCCCCAGCCCAGGTTTGGAGGCGATTCCCCTCTAGTGACTGAGCCGATTGCAGCTGGACGAGCTGCGCTTCGCCACCCTCACGCCTTTGTCTCCTCCTCCTCCGAGCCTCCAGGCTCCGGCCCCAGAGCAGGGTCTGCAGCGGTCACCGCAGCAGCTGGAGCCAAGCCGTGCACCGCACGGCTGCCCGGGGCGCACCCGCGCCGGGTGGAGGCACCAGAGGACGCCCGCGGAGCCACGCACCCGCCAGCCCGCAGCCCGCGCTCCAGCCGCCCGGCACCAACCCTGCCGCCACGGCGGCGGGGGCACCAGCACTGCCCGCCCGCCAGGTCCGGAGCGGGCTACCCGGCTAGCGGTCGGGTGCGGAGAGCAGCCAGCGGCCGCTGCAGTTCTGGAAGAGCCCACACCCCCAGGCAGACGCACCCAACGCCTCCTCCCTGCGCCGCCAGGATGGAGCTGTCACCGCAGCCCGGGGCTGGCGCGAGGTAAGGTGCGGCCGCCTGTTGCTTTCCGCTAAGCGCAGTATCCCCCCGCTTCCCGGGCGCCCAGGGTGCCTAGGCCGTTCCTCCCGGAGCAAGTGGAGGAGAAACTGTCACACCACTTCGGACAGGTCCAAAGCCCCTGCTCTCCTTGGCGCAGACTTTGGAGAGACCCCTTCTGAGGAATGGGGCGGGGGAGGAGGGGGGGGGGTGACCCTCGCTCTTAGCACGTTGCAGCTGGCTTACCACGCAATAGTCGGAAAACTTTTGTGCCCCCCTCCCTGCGCGGTGCTCACCCCATGCCTGGCAAGTTGCACGTCTAGTTCTCGCGTGCACCCTTCCCCCGCCCCTGCCTTGCCGTGTACATCTGCCCATTTCACTCTGTGTTCTCGGCAGTGGACTTTTCACTCCCTGCAGCTACCGCCAGACAGGCGAGGGGTTGAGACCCAGCAGTGCTCATCCAGCCTGTACGGGCAGTTTAGGAGCCCAGGTGGTGGGATAGGGGAGGTGGGAAGTGGGGGAGGCTGCGGCCACCCCGGGGGGGGGGGGGGCTCTGCCCAGCGCGGCGGGAGTCCTTCCATCCTTGCGTGTGCCACCCCCAACTCCTCGGTCATGAAACCCTTGGAGGCGCTTGCGGCTGTGCGCCCAGGGAACGGCAAGTGCAGGGTGGGTGAAGTGAGTGGTTTTGGGAGGGAAACGGTTGCTCGCAGGGGTAGGGGAGGAAACTGAGCGTCAGGGTTAGATCTGATTGAGGGGGAACCAAAAAGGCTCAGCTAATGCATGCAGGCGAGGGGGCCAGCCCCCAGCAGGCATCTGATAGGCAGGAAAAGGGATTTGAATCCCGAGGGTGCTGGCCCCAATGTGTAAATACTGGGGGGGGGGGGGGGGGGCTGGGTACCTGGGAGGCGCAGAGAGAGGGATGGAGCCCTGGAATGCCAGCCGGGGACCTGGGAAGGCAGGCTTCTTTCTGGCTGACTGGCATGGGGCTCTCTCCCTCTCCAGGGGAGACAAACCTCCGGGCGAAATTCTGAATGCGTTGGTGTCTTGGGCGGCGACGGAGTGGTTTAGAATAGATCATGGACCAGGGATGCTTTTCCCGGCTCCCTGAGGACCCTCGTCCCCTCCTTCCCAGGCACCGGCTTCTCTGCCCTTCCACCCCCAGTTGGTCTGTGGACCCACGCCCACCTTCCCTGCGGGTGCTGGGAGTTGGGGACGTCTCCATAGCCGCAGGGTGGGGAGGGGGCTCCTGGCCCCCAGGGGGACGTGTGTGCAGGGGGGGAAGAGAATCCCCAGCGCCTAGCAACTAGATTGCGGTCCGAGCTGGTGGACGGGGAGCCCTGGGGTGGCGGCTGCAGTGGGAACCACCTTTCCCTCCTCCCCTCCGCAGATCGCACCTGGGCGGAGCAAGCGAGTGGGGGAGCCCCGTGGAGCAGAGTTGAGCAGGGCGTGCAGGGCGAAGGGGTGTGGGCATTGGGGGAGGGAAGGCCCCTCCCCCCGGGGCCCCGCGCGGAGGTGGACTGTCCACTTTGCAGCCCCTTCTGGGCAGATCCTTTCGCTTGTTCCAGCCGCTTTAGCCAATGCCGGAAGGCGAGGCTCTTTTCCCCCTTGCAACCCAGCCATCTGAATGGAAGAGCAGTAGCGGGAGGGAGCCTAGACTGCCATTGCAAAAAAAAGGTGCAGCCCCCGGGGACCCCATTTATCCCGGTGGGGAGCACACCCGGCTGGGCTGCGTCAGGCCCGGACGCACCTCATTTAACCCTTCTCTCTTCGGGTTGGCACACGCCCCTCCTAGCGGCGCCTGTGGCTGAGAGTCCGGCTCTCGATTCCTACTGTACCGATAAGAGGAGAATTTGCAGGTTGCGTGGATCTGGAGCCTGTAAAACCCTCTGGTCCTCCCTGTTCAAACCAACCACGTGCAGGCTTTTAGGAGCACAACCGTCTCTGCGGTTGCCTGGTGGATATCTCGGGCTCTCCTGTACCAACTGGGAGGAAGCTCAGCTCAACGCAGTTCCCTTTTGGGGGGGCCCACGCCTTGGCCAGACTCTCCCGCCAGAGACATCGACTTGCAAAGGCTCCTGGGAGGAGTCCTGAGGTCGGTCCTCCCATCTGGGGGCACCCCCGGAGCAAGGAGTTCCCTGCAGCCCAGCCTCAAGCCTCAGAGCCCCAAGGAGCACGACTGGGGATTCCCTCTGAGCTGGCTCGGGGTGCAGCTCCTGATTGGGGAGAGAGCGTTGGCTTCTTCTGAATTACCTGGATACCTGAGGTAGGACCCCAGAATTCAATGGGCAAGATTTAGCTTCACCTGCCCCAGGATCCAGTATTTTTTGGGGGGGTGCTTATCACCTGGATTTGTGCACAGGCCACTTCCTTTTGCAGTAGAAACAAGATGGAACATGTCCTTTGAGAACTCTTGAAGGAAGGTTTCAAACCCACACTAAAGGGATTTTATCGGGGTGTTGAACTATCCTGGGGAGACAGGTAGTAATAATAACAACCAGTGCCAGCATTTACCGAGCCCTTACTCTGTGCGGGCATTATTCTAGGTATTGTATGTGCACTGTTTTAGTTTGAATCCTCACACCAACCCTGGAAGATAATTAAATCCCATTTTATTGGTGAGGAAACTAAGCCAGGAAGAAATTATCTGCCTCATAGTTATCCAGCCAGTAAGTGGTGGGGCTGGTGTCTCTTGTGAGTGGAGAACACTGGGTGTGTTCCACACTCCCGGCCCTATTTGGTACTAAAGACCCTTTGTCCACAAGGGAGTGTGGTGGGCCTCCAGCCCATTACTCCGAACCCCAGGGGCATACTGTCAGTGCCAGCCCTTGCCTGTGAGCCCCTGTGGCTGTGGCACTGGGGAGACTGATGGTGCATCTCACCCCCCTCAGAATCTGTTGGGGTGGACCTTGGTAGGCTGGGATCCTGATACTGAAAGCAGACTTAGGGAATTGGCTGCTGACATTGGACTTCCTTTCTGAGCCTTTTGGTAGACATTCCCTTCTGAAATGTGAGGAGAAATGGAAGGAGGGATCCAAATGTGAGAAGAGATTTGCTCTGTGGTCAGAAACTACAGACACTGTATTCTGCAAATAAATCTCTAGTGATGGAATCACAGAATATTAGAGCTAAAGGGAGCTCAGATCTCCGCCCCCCCCCCCACCCCCCACCCCACTCCCCCCAGTCCAGGGGCAGGGAGGTGATACAGTGATGGGCAAGGCCACTCAGTGTGTTCCTAGCATAATAGTACTGGAACCGCTGTCTTCTGACCCTGGTCAAATAAACTGTGTTTGTACATCAATACATTATGTTCACTGCTGCTATTTCTCAGCATCTTAAAGTTAATTAGGGGAAATGGTTGTTAAAAAATAGATCATTTTGCTAATTTTTCATAAATGCCTCAATCAGCATAACCAGAAAAAGTCACCATCATATATAATGGGTAAATCACCACAAATTGCCTGTTTTGCAAAAGATTGCAGTAGAATATTTATATCTTCAAATCAACTAAATCAACTAACCATGCAGCCTTTTTAGATGATTCTAAATAAAAATTAAATGGATTCCCAACCATTTTAGCGAAGTTCTTCTGTCAGGTTGAGTAGGTCTTTCTTGCCCCACTCCCAGTTATTGCTGAAAACAAGAGAAAATGTAGCACATCAAAGGGGGAAAAAAAACCTTTTGAACCCAATGAAACGATTTGTTATTATTTCTTTTGGATTTCTGACCCTTGGGTTAAATTGAGGCTGATGTAAATCTGAGGCCAAACAGACTTGGGGGCTCAGAAAGGGGAAAAAATAGTTCTTTGCTACTTTCTCACGCATTGAGCCCCTTGACAAAGGGAGCTTTCTCCAGGGGCTTAGGGTTCCCATGTACCCCTAGGCATTCTTGTAGGACAGAAATCTGGTTTCTAAGAACATTCCATGTCTGTTCTCTGTGGCTGTATTGCCAAGATGAACTCCCCCTGGAGACAAATCAACAGTCAGCTGGAGTAAACAGAGAGGAGGGCGGGAAAAGCCTGTTTCTCAGAATCACAGTTGCGGGGGGGGGGGGGGGGGGGGGGGGGGTAAGAATTACAGGCAGATAGTGGAAACTTGGTGCCTTTATGTCACCAGGACAGGATTTTCATCCCTGATGCTGTGACAAGCCAGGTCAGAGGCCCTCTAGCAGTAACTAGGGGTGGAGAAGGAAAAGGTGAGGGTGAGGGAGCAGTGCTGGCAAGGAGGCATGGGGTCAGGGAGAAGGGGCTTGGTTGATCCAGGTCTTTGGTGTGACAGAAATGGCCATGGAGAGCCTGCCCCAAGAGATGCTCTTCTCCCTTTCCCTGCTTTCAGTCTGCCCTCTGTGTTGGGTTGGCTGATCTGAATCCCAACATCCCAGTGATCTCAAGGGAAGCATTCACTTTCTAGAGACTGCATTAGAAACGAACATTGTCTTTACAGTGTAAGTGGGGGAAATATGCACCAGCTGGGCCACTCTTCAGGAAAAACTATTAAACATGCGATCATCCCACAAAGGTACTCTGTGAAGGTGGGATACTCTTCAGTTGTATTACAGGGGTGTTAGAGTAAAAAAGATGTAACATTGAAATCAAGCATGACAAAATCTAAAGGAAATGGCCTATCTGTAGGAACTACAATAGGAAATGGCCTATCTGTAGGAACTACAATAAGAGAATCTTTTTGCACCTGGATATACATCTTGGATTCCAATTCTTAGCTTTTCCAGGGAGGATAGGGGAGTTAGCTGTAGCTTCATCCTATTTATGGGGCCTTCGTGCCCTCTACTTATTTTACTTCTGTGTGGGGTAGTATTAAAGGGCAAACACAACACCTCGACTGGGAAAATTTGGGGGGTATGTATTTATCTTAAATCATATATATATATATGAGTTTGTTGACAGTTGGAATAACAATTTCTATTAAGCAACATGCTCTGGGGAAAAGGTTATGAAAAAAAGAACTTTTTAAATTTAGAACACAGTGAATAAATATGTTCGTGCAATACATAGTATGAATGAAAATTCTCAGTTTTGGTTAGATATTTAAAAATGAAAAAATCCAAGAACCAGAGCCTCTGAACTCAACCTCATTTTAATAACAAGAAAAGCCATGCCCAGCCAGCATGGCTCAGTGGTTGGGCATCGACCTATAAATCAGGAGATCACAGTTTGATTCCTGGTCAGGGCATATGCCGAGGTTGTGGGCTCAATCCCAGTGTGGGGTGTGACAAGGCAGCTGATCAATGATTCTCTCATTATTGATGTTTCTATCGCTCTCTCCCTCTCTTTTGCTCTCTGAAATCAATAACAAATATTTTTTTTAAAAAATAAAAAGAAAAGCCAAATAATAAGGTTCTGTGGAGTTTGAAGAAGACCTTAGCAAAGGGAAAAAAAAGAAGAAAACACGATGACTAGGTAGAACCTGTGAGGCTTTATGTTCATGGTTTTTATTTTAAATAAATATTATAACATCTTAATCTATATTTAGATTGGAATAGCATAAGATTAATAAATTTATCTGCAGATTGACAGCTTGATGAGCTTTATTCTACAAGTGATTGGGAACCAGGATGGAAGCTCTTATATCTGATATGCTAGTTATAGCTATATATGCTTTATAACAACTTAATGAATTAAAACACAACATGACACCTGAAATGCCTTTGAATATGAGAATAAAGTCTGAACTCTTCTCAAGAGCTTAAAGGCTTGGAACATACTACTTTCCCAATGGGAGTATGTTATCAGTAAGGGCCCTACAATTCATTTAATATAAATAATTGAATAAGTATTAAAAAGAACCACATTGATAAAAACAACTTTTCCCCAAGAGGATAAATGAACAGATCAGTACAGTTTATAAAAGTTATGGTTTTATTTTATCCTAAGCTCTCTGAGCTGCTTTTTATGTTAACACTAGTCCAATGCAAGTGTTCCTACACTTCAGGTTTTATAAAAGGCTTTGTCCCTTTTATTACAAATAAAATGGAAACAAATATATAAAAATAAAATATTGTGAGTGGTTCTCACACATGGAGTAACACTTGATAAAACTAAGTATGTTTTCAAATGCAGATTGGTTTTCTTTTTACTCCTTCCTCCCTTTCTTCCTTCTCCCTCCCTCCCTCCCTCCCTCTCTTCCTTTTTTCCTTCCTTCTTTCCCCCTTTTCTGTATTTCTTTTCTTCCTTCTTTTTGTTCGTTTTTTCTTTCTTTCTTCCATTCTTCCTTTCCTTCTTTCTTCCTTTCTTGGGTCATTGATAGAACTTTCAGTCTGCATGTAAGTATTCAGTACCTAGCTGGGAGAGATGGCTATTTAGGGCAAATATTTCTCCTGGTGGAGGCAGGGAGAAGGTACAGTGCATTTGTATATTTGTCCAAAGCTAAAACACAAAGGTCATGAAGTCACACTGGCCTTTCCTCTAATCTCCTAACCTCAGTTCTGCTTTAGAAAAGCATTCCTGCTACAGAGGGCTCACCCTGTTAGCAGTGACTAAGCAATGTGCTTCCTTTTGCTTGAATGGGAATGTATGCAATGAGAAGAACCCAGCCCAGTCTGCTGACCTCCCCTATATGACTGGTCATCAGGAATTATCAAGACGAGATGTTTTCCATCCTTTCTACAAATTATATTCAAACACGAGTTTACAAAGTTATGTGGCCTCCTGCCATAATGTTTCGTAGTTGTTTATTCAGGTGTGGTGAGTCTAGAAACAAAATTAATACCCTTCTCTAATGGAAGGGATAATATAGACTCTTGGTGCCCAAAGTATCTGCTATAAAACTCATGAAAGAGGGATGGCTGATCACCAACCAGGTCAAGAAGGTCCAGAGAGGCAATGGAGAAGCAGCTGGGATGGGTGTTAGAGGAAAGGGGGAGGGGGGAGAGAGAAAGGCAATCAGGGAAAACAAACCACCCAAAGGAAGAGAAACGAGTGATTGGCACAGGAAAATGAAGAGGTGTTTGAGAGTAAGCTGAAATTGAAAGATAAGAAAAAGGCATAAAAATAGGAGAAGATAAATAAGGCTAATAGGAGTGATAAAGAAGAAGAGGTATGTATGAAAAAAACAACAACAACGTTGCTAAATAATTCCTCACAGTCTAGATAACTCAGAGGCAGCCTGACTCCTCAGTTAGGGGATGATTCTCTTTCCCACATTCCCCTGCCCCTTGTTAATGTGGCTTCTCAATTGCCAGGTCAAGGGTTCTTCATCCTATTTATGTCTTGGTGCCCTTTGTTTTTTCGTGTTTTTTTTAATGAAACAT